ATTACCCAGGCCTGTAGAGTAAACATTGAATACACCATTGCTACAGTGACAGATTTCACCAATTTCCATGTCTATTGCAGATTCCTCCATGTGAAAATGCACTCCACATAATGTACCATGAGTCTCAGAGACACACAAGAGACAGGGATGTTGCAGAGAGGCTGCAGTGTCCCTCACAACAAGACCTCAACTCCAAGTAGAAAAAAAACCAGTCTGCAACCTTCAAAACCTAAAACAAACGTTAACCCATGGGAAATTAAGCCTCCTGACTTCAGTTACAAGCTGTATACATCTTTGAGATTTCCAGAAAAACCATCAAGGACCATTAAGGAAGAATCAAAGAGGAAAACAAGCAATTTTTCAGAAATAATGTTTCACTTGCCCAGCATCAGGAATCCTCCCAAGAAGGCCACATCTCCCAAGTTTATAACTACATTTCCAAGTCTGGATTCACATAAAGCGAAGTTAATGTTTGTGAAGAGTGGAAAATATCCCAGGGGTGTATACCTCAATCCAAAACCCCATGACTTTCGACAGGTACAAAAGAGCATTTGATTCTAAACAATTAAAACAGATAAGGGGAGAAAATACATTATTTTTTATTCATTTCTTAATTTGTGTAACTATTATACAAGCAAAACAAAGTATGTGTATAATGCTACATTCTTGCTTCTCATGGAACAATACAAATCAGATTCATCAATAAATGATAGAAGAAATAAGTAAGACCTCCGTTATTGTTTCTAATGGGGTTTTATCCGCCAGGAGGTGTGGTCAGCTCTGGGACGGGCTTTCTTAGGCTTGGGGAGAACAGTTTGGATAAGTTGTGACTAGAGATCAGATATCAGTTGTCAGGAGCTTACAATATAGTAGTAATGAAATAAATTCATGGAACAAATAAATGAATGAATGAAAATTGCTAAAAAGGGATATTCTATTACTTGAATGAGTCTTTCTGGTGATTAATAATTTAAATAGTACATGGACAAAAGTAAGATTTATAATTTAAAAGGGTGGCAGGGAATATAAGGTGGTAGTTGAAAATGAGGTCAAAATATAATCAATAAAATAAGAATAGATTATGTACTTAGGTCTATAATTCAGCACATAAATATGACTCTTGCTAGGCAAAAAACAATAGGACTGCCAGTACAAAAAAAAGTAAGGAAAAAGAATAATTTTTTTTCCAATAGGAAAATATAGGGTAGCAGTTAAGAGCATGATTTCTGGGGTCAGATTATCCCTGTTCTCTTCTTTTCTAATAACTTTAGACAAGTTACTAAGTTTCTTTCTTATGTATAACATGGGATAACATTGTTATATATTTTATATGGTTATTTTAAGTATTGAAGGAGATAATATATGCAAAGTACGTGGAACAGGGCCTGGAATATTGAGGCATTCAATGAATGTTAATTGTTCATGAGCTCTTAGGATAAAGGTTGGGGAACTCAGGCAGCCACAGTCAATAACTTTCTTTACTTATTGGGGGCATCTAAACACTTCTATTTGTAGTAAATAGAGTATGTTACCTTTTAGAGATGACCAAAAGAGGGACATCAATTAAATATTAAATGTTATTGGCTTATTTAAATATTTCACTATTACAGGTAGAATTACAAGACTTGGGTAAGTAAAGTTCAAGAAATGGGGGTCATTTTTATTTTTGTTGAAAGAATTTTTTGTTTCTATAAGAGGGAGTTGGAGGCAAGGTGATATAAATTGTGCAACCACCAGATGTCAGTATTGTTACAAATTAAACCTCAACTGAAGGATTTTGAAACTAACTTGGCCTCCTACCGTATTTGTTAAATAGTGAAAAATCTTATAGTCTTCTTTGAACTTTTAAGACTTTTTTATATGCTCATGGCAGGAGCTAAGTCACTCATTAAGTGTTCTTTGTGTTCCCTGATATTCTTCTGTTTGGTGCCTCATTGACTTAGCTTTGTGATGATTTATCTGATAAAGTTCTGCAGTGTACAAACTCTATTTAAGTTCAAATTGGTTCATTGAAATCATATCTGAAAACCTACTTTGTTTTACAGCTTACTAAAAATAAGCAATAGTTACTCCATCCCAGGACTGTCAAATTCTCTAGCTTTGTTCAATATTTATGCTATGTCCCTGAAATAAGTTCATCTCCAGATAAATAAAATGTAAGTCTCTGTGCATGTAAAATTAAGTTGCCAAATTTTGAATAGATTTCCTTAATTTCATACTGTTTAAGATACTATTTCTGATCTATTCACACAAAAATAATTGAAGTACTCTTCTTCACCATAAAATGAATTGATTTTACAATATTTGAATCTTAGATTTCAAATTTTCATATACAAGTTTTAAATGCTACAACAAAATCTTCAAAATTGCACTTTGTCAGTGAAACATTTAGTATTGGGGAAATCAAATTCCAAATTATGATAAGAAATAGTATTTATTAGTAATAGTTCAATCTTCTCTTTGCATATCTAGTACCAACCTGATTTACCAAACTTTGTGACAACTCATGAAAGGGACCCTTTTGGATTAAAATTTAAGTCACAACTCTTAAATACAGGTAAGTTCTTATCATAAAGTTATGAATATTGCAAACAATGAAATTTCTGCATTATATATTAACAGGAATACTTGCAAAGGCATATAACTAAAAGTGGTTTTGTTTTGTTGGGGTTTTTTTACTTATCATCTTTAATAATATGATAAAATTTTTAAATGCCCTTTTAATAAGGGCATTTAATTATTGCCCTTGCAATAATCCATTTATTTTGCTACCCACAACTTTTAATACATTAATGAAGACTGAGTTTGTAATTCAATGGGTTGTGTATAGAGAACAAAGTGTCATAATTAAGAGAATAGACTTTGAAGCCAAGCTGTGCAGCTTTTAATCTTGCCTTAGCTGCTCCAAATTACATAAACTGCCTATTTCTTGGTTTCCCCATCTGTTAATGGAAATGACAATAATTGAATCTATATCATAGAATTATTTTGAGCATTAAATTTGCTAATACCATATGTAAAACATTTAGTTAATAATGTATTGTGAAGCACATGGCAAATATACACACGCAAATGCTGTTATTATTATTATGCCGTTTGTGTAGTGTTTATATAGAGTTAATTTGTCTTATGCAACATTTCTTATTTTGGACAAGGGTAAATAATACATACCTGCTATATTTACATATTGTAACTATACATCAATTAAAACCATAAGATGTTAACAGTGGTTGAATTTTATTTCCTTGTTTTCAAAATGAGAAGCAAATAATATAATTGTAAAATTAAGATAATTTATTTACAAATAATGTATATATTGTAGCATGGGCTATATTTATAAAAGTCTTTTCTAGATATGTAATTAAAATAGAACAAGTCAGCTTTCTCTGTACGTGCTATGTAAAACTCACTATGAAAGAAAATGCCAAGGATTACTTTATAAGGCTCAGCCCCTGCCCTCAAGAATCTTCTAAGTAAAATGTAAGGTAGAATGTAAAACATGCCATCAAAGTCACGAAACTGTATTGAGGAGACACTTTAGAAAGAGGCTTCCAGGAAAATAAAAGGTGGGATTGGAACTGAGGTTTGAAGAAAGACAAAATTAAATCCAGCACAAGTGGTGGAAAGCATAATAAGTTTTCTCTAGATTTTTTTCTTTACTTTTATAGCAGTTTTAGTTTTACAGAAAAATTGATCAGGAAGTACAGACAGTTCCCAGACCCTCTGCACAAACACATACAGGTTTCTCCTATTATTGACGTTTACTTTAGTGTGGTACATTTGTTACAATTGTAAATCAATTTCATGTTAGGTTTCCCTCTTTGCATTGTACAGTTCTATGGGTTTTACCAAATGCATAACGTCATGTATTCACCATTACAGAGTAGTTTTGCTGCCCTAAAAATCCTCTATACTCTACCTATTCATCCCTCTTATCCTAGACCCTTCCCCCACCCCCTGAAACCCTGGAAACCACTGATTTTTCTTTCCATTGCCTCAAACATTTATTATTTATTTGCATTGGAAACATTCAAAATCTTCTCTTCTAGCTAATTGAAACTACAATAAATTGTTTTTAGTTATAGTCATCCTACAGTGCTATAGAACACTAAACATTATTCTTCTGTCTAGCTGTACTTTTGGATTTAGATTTGCACTTATAGATTGTCTAACAGTGTATCAAACCTGGGTCCTGATCGCCAAAAATGATACTGTATCCAGGAAACACCACAAATAAAGACACGTATCATTGCTAAGTTTGTCATTTGTCTTCATATGTCTAGTACATGGGAGTCAGTTCCTGAAAGATGATAAACAGAAGAACACTGCAGGAAGATTTATCACCTACAAGTCTCGTGAATGCACCTGGGATTCCAAACTAATTTTAGCAAAAGCCCCATGGCCTATTAAATCTGCCTCTTACACTGTGAGTTTGACTCTTTCACTAGAACTGTTGGGAAATGTCTCTAGCACTATTATCCATGATTGCTTTAGTACAGGACTTTTTAATGTGTTGAAATGTATATAGTAAAAGATATCCCTGTCTTTAAACGTAACACATGTAGATCTCTACTTTTTCTTGAAATGCAATTAATGGATTATCTAGAATTTGGGATTTTCTTATTATAAAGACGGTATGGGTGAATTGAGGCCTGGATATTGTGAGGGATTTTTTTCCAAATTTCCTCCCAACTGATTGGGAGCCCAAGAGTAGTTTAGTGAATCACCGTCAAGTAAGAAGGCCTAACAAAAAGACTCTGTGATACACTCATAAAAAAATGTTGAGAACACATACTTTTACCACTCTATCCTAGTCAAATAAGGCTTCTTTGAAAGCTCTGCATGTCTAAGCAGAACAAGATGTGAATTTGGCATACAGCTAAGCATTTAAAGCAAAGTTTATTAAATAACAATTTCTTAAAAATAAACAATTAAAGTTAATATATGTTTGCTTTTACTAACTTCCTTTGTACCATCTTCCTTCAGAGACACAGAAGACGGCGTGATGTGTACGGTGCATTTATGGATCGTGTGGAAGAAAAGTTTATGAAGACATGCAAGAGCAGGTGGGCTAAAAATTTAGGATTTGTTGTTGAATACTTACACTAACTCTTTAGAATTACTACTCAGTTTCTGTTTTTTAAAAAATGTACTTTATCCTATAAACACTCTACCATCGTAGGAACTATAATTAGTGTGGTGCTCAATCATTTTAAGTGAAGCCTAAAAGAATCTGGTCCCTTGAGGGGATGGGTAGGTTTAGAGAAACCTTGAGGCTGCTTCTTTAGTTCAGCATGTCAAAACACCATTTTGGGAGGTATCATTTTCTGAGCCTCAACAGTGTTAGTCATATATAAAGAACTCATGAAAATCAACAAGAAATAGGCAAGCAATCCAATAGAAAAGAGCAGGAATTTTACACAAGAGGATATCTAAGTGACAGAACATATGAAAATGTGCTAAACATGATATGTAATCAGGGAAATGCAATCAAATACACAATGGACAACTGCACACCTACCACATTAGCTAAAATGAAAAGGATAAGCAAGATAAAGCTTTGGCAAAGGTGTGGAACATTTATACACTGCTTGAAGAAATGTAAACAGGGACAACTGCTTTGGAAAATTATTTTGCAATATATTCTAAAGTCGAATGTGTATGTATAACTTATGACACAAAATTCCATTCTAAGTATATTTAACCAAGACGTATATATGGTATACATATACGCATGAAAAGATATGTACAGAAATGTTTATACGAAAATTATTTGTGATAACCTTCAAACTAGAGACAAGCCAATGCCAATAAATAGCAGAATGGGTAAAAGTGTGATATATTTACACAATGGATTATTATACAAGAACAAATAAACCAAACTGTTGCTATATGCAGCAACGTGGATGAGTCTCAAAAACATACTAATGAGGTTTGGGGGATTTTTTTTGTTTTTGAAGGCAGATGTACTGTACATTGTATTATTTCATTTCTATAGAGGAAAATACCTGTCCCTGTATATGATGTCAGGAAGTTGGCTTCCTTTGATATGAAGGGAGGGAGTACAATGAGAATCTTCTCAGTCCTGAGAATGTAATATTTCCTGACCAGGGTGGTGGTTACATAGATGCATGGACTTTGTGATACTTCATACAAATATTTATTTAATATCTGGGCTCTATTCTGCATATATGTAAAACCTTAATAAAAAGTTTTTAAATTGAAAGATTTTTGTGATTGACTTAAATTTCAGGAAAAAAAAGGAAAAGAAAGAAAGAAACCCTTATCCGTTCTAAATTAACATTTTAATCTCAATCCAATTCAAAACATTTTTTGCTTTCTGCAACAAGGTCTGCCCTGTGGCTCAGGGATTTACTGTGGGGAAGGGAACATTGTCTCTTCTTTTTCTCTTTCTGCACCTTCTCCCCATCACGCTCCATTACTTCTTGGTCTGCCTTTTATCTCCAAGGTTTTGGTACCCAGAAGAGAAATGGGAGGAACAGAGGCAAAAATCTCAGGTAAGAAAGGCTGCTGTGATCAGCTATTGACATCCTGTGTGTGGCAGATGTCCAAACAGAGACTGGCTTGTGGAGCACAATGGTGTGTATTCTTCTCTGTCCTGGACAGAGACCTCATTCTGCACCTTTGAGGAGGACTAACCTCCAGCAACCCATTCTCAGTCCCTGCTTCAGCCCACTGCTTCTTACAGGTATGATCTGCATCCCTTGCAGGCAGCCTTTTTGGTGGGATTACTCATGAGATGGCTGGAACCCAGCTATCTCATTATTCCACTTTGTTCACAGGAAACTCATACAGCTCATTGAATGATGAGAGTACAGATGACCTCCTATTTTTCTTTCTCCCTTCACTGACATCATGAGCCACCCATTTTTTCATCTCTAAGCAAGAAAGAGGCACATTCTCTGTGAACAAATGCACACCCTTAAAACCTTCTGGGGACATATATGTAACCACCCCTCCACCCCTTCCATACCACCTTGTGCCGAAGGACACCTCTGGTGGCCTCTTCATTTTCTGCAGCTCAGCAAGCATCCTTTCAGAGCATGCCTGCTGGTTTTATTCTCTTATATGCACCCCCAATCTTTCTAAATGATAATCCTCAGCATCCATGAATTGGCTTTGCAGGAATCGCTCTTTTTCCCTTACTCAGAGGAATCAGAATGGGTATTCTACAGGGCTTTGCCCCAGGGAAAATGGTGACTACTTCAGAGTTTCAACTGTTTACTTAATTTGGATGGAATAGAGGGGAAGAGTAAAAGGTCTGGCCCATTCAAGTTTTAGAAAGCCCTATAGGGTTATAGCTTCCAGCAGCTTCTCTATAGAACATAAGAATACCTGCTACTTCTCTATGGAGCATAAGAGTACCTATCTCCTGTGCCAGCTTTGGGGCTTCAATCTGTTTCAAGACAACAGGAAGCACCCCATTTCTGCAACCTCTTAACACTTAAATTTCTTGACTAAGGGAGCTTCTACCTCCCCTCACCTGAGAGAGAAGCCTCACTGTAACACGTCCCTGCACTGTTCATTCTGCTGATGATGATGGAGAAGACGTGTAACTGTGTGAGACAGGATGTATTTAGGAGTCCGTAGTTTCTGCATCCTTTAATTGGCTCTTACACATCCAACTCAGCAGTGTGCAGTTGCTTTTATAGGCATAACCACTCAATTCTCTCCAGACCATGCAATGTTGAGCTAGGTGTCATTATGATTGTTATTCCCATCATCTTCATTGTTATTATAATTTTATAAATTAGGAAACTAAAGTCCTCTTTAGGAATTTAATGTTAACAGCACTTAGTCAAGATGGCACTCCAAAACACACACATTGTACTGTAGCACTAAACTGCATGTGTGCACATTCTGATAGGTAATGGAAAATAAATGTTTGGCTAACACAGTGTAGTTCTCATTCCATATCATAATTGTAGTTGTGCTCTACTATTTTTTTGTTGTTGTTGTTATCATACCTGTATGAGCTTGGTTTTAGATATCTCTATAGTGAGAGAAGAGGATTGAGATGATGTTATCTAGCATTTGCCATCAAGTTTCTGGTCCCAGGAGTGACTGTCAGGCAAGCCACGCCCTCTATAGAAGCTGATGCAGCAGGTAACATTCTCCCATTTCTCTTTTGTTCCTTTAGATAGCTGATGGACAGAGACAACATAGGACTTTCTGAAATCTCTTCTGAATGTTCATTTTCTGTGCAATTCCTAATGAGAGCACTGATGAATTTTGGCACCATTCTAGATTCCAGGGAAATCTGCAATGTCCCAGAAGCACAAGAAAGTTCTAAAACATAAATGATTTTAAACTAAAGTTACGTAATTTGAAATTCCCTTGCTACAAAATGGACGAGAATACTGTCATCAGGCTTTTGATTTAGTTTGTGAAATTCAGATCTTGCAACAATGAGTGGAAATGCTGATAAAAGTTGTGCTTTCTATTAATACGCAAAGTAAAAGAAATGCTCTAGTTCTCAGATTAAGCTAAGAAGAGGCAGATAAACAAGAATAATGCTGTTAAACTTGACCACCAAGCCTCTCTAAGGCAGGCGCTGCAAATTTTATATGTTTGTATCTTTCATAGAAACAAGACCACTCTGAATAGAGCATATATTCTCTTAAAGATGACTATTATGCCACGTGTGTGGGGGGGTAATAGTCAGAAAAGGTAAAAACTTTTACTTAAAAAATAGAGAACAATGTAGAAGCAAAGTTGCAGAGTTTAAGCAAATAGGGCACTTTCCCAGTGGGATATTATCCAAAGACAAAAAATAGGTAAGTTTAGTTTCTGGCACAGAGAAGTCGTTCTGAGGCTTAAGTTGTTCACAGAAATAAATTTTATTTCAGAAATCTTAGGATGCCAGATGGTTTGTGATAGTGTTTATTTCTCAAAAAAAAAAAAAAAAATAGGAGTTATACTTACGAGCCTCATGTTTTTATATAGAAGGTGGCATGGGCTAAAACAATCAAATTTTACTTGGTATGTTTATGGCATATTGAAATCAAAACCTCAGTCTTTATATTTCAGTTTTTTCCCAGTACATTTTTAGTTAGCTGATCGAAACACTCAAGTGTATTAAAAAAGAGAAGATCTCCAAGTAACACAAACAATTAAGTGTCCTTCCTAAAGATCATCAGGCTTGCAGAATTAATAGTTAGGTGGCAGGGGGACTCTTTTTTCACATATTGAAAAGATTTTCTTAAATTTTGTTTAAAAACCTTGAGGAAAAGAAAACAAGTGATTTGAAATTTCTTCTTTGTTTCCGATCAAAATTTTAAACAGGAAAAGGGGCGGGGGTTATACTGAATGCCACCGCCAGTTTTATCGAATGGATTACCCTATCTCCTTTCCAATTTCCAATGAAAACAAGTTGAAATAAAGTCAAATAGGTATTTAATAGCTCTGTTTACATAAGTAGTATTAAGTGGAAAGATGAGGCAGTGAATTATATCATTTCCCAAAGGATATTCTTCATAATTCAAGTTCCCTGGAATTTTAGTAGGTGATCCATGAAAAGAAATGTATTCTTTAGAAAAACAAATGCAGCAAATGCTGGACTAAATATATTAGAGAGATGAATTTACTCAGGATGTGTGAGTAGAGAGGTCTGAATGCCCCAGGACTTAGTCCTTGGCCTCATTTTTTCCTACTATACACACTGTCTTGGTAATCTCATCCATTGCTATTGCTTTAAATGTCTTCTTCATGCCTAAGACTTCTTAATATATATACCTTGCCCTGGTGTCTCTCCTAAACTCCAGCCTCTTAGACTCTTATCTACGACAAACTACTTGGCATCTCCTCATGATATCTACTAGTCCCCTCAAACTCACCATACCCAAAATTGAACCCTGACATTATTCCCCAATCCTCCCAGTCTTGCTTATCTCAGTAAATAGCAATCTGTTTCTCCATTTGCTCTATAAGATGGAGTCATCCTCATCTCCCTTCCTTATGTCACACCCTATGAGCTGTTATGTCATGAACTCAACTACTTTTCACCATGTCTAGTAAATAAACTAGTCCAAATTCCTATCATCTCTTGCCTGAATTATTGCAGTAGCTTCCTATCTGGAGGTCCCCTGGAGGCCCACACCCACCTCGGTCCCAACACAACAGCAGAATTGTTTGATCCTTTCAAATGCAATTCCTATCATGTTATTCCTCTGCTCAAAACCCTCCTATATCTTTACATCTTTGGTCAAAGTACTTCCAATGTCCTAGGTTGTTATTTGCTATCTGGTCCTGATTTTTTCTCTGTGCTCATCTCTAACGACTCTCCTTCAGTCACAGGGGTTCTCCTATTAACAGAGAAAATTCACAAAGGCAGGATATTTGTCACGGTGTTCACTGTTGGGTCCCAGTGCCAAGTAGAATAGCTGGTGCATAGTAGCAGATGCTCTTTAAATAATTGTTCAATGAATGACTTCACTGGAATAGTCTGAGAGCTGCATACAGCGTAGATGACCTAATTATTGATTCACTAGCAGTTAAAGAGAACTTTGATTTCTAAGGTTAATGAGAACTAACTTTGATTTCTAAATTAATACTTCTGTGGAATAGCATACACTTCCACTGCTTTGCATTTATCAGGAATGTCAGAATTTTAAGATTCTTGTTTATTGCACTTGAAATGAAAATACCATCCCATGAGGTAAGAAATGAAACTTTTAGGGAAAATGCTTGCACCTAAGTTATCGGTAAGTCTAAGTCCTTTCATTAGAGGCAGACAATTATCAGCTTAACTTTAAGACTTGCTGAGAACATTAATGATTAACTGTTCAAAGCAGCATGAGAGAATTGGTCTACATTAACATAAAACTCAATGATATCTGTGTTCACATTCACATACTTTCAGACAACAGCCATGCTAGAAACTTTTGGTTCTATTTATTTGTGTATTATTTGTGAATTGTAAGTTACAAGGTGACTTTCGGAACTATATTCAATTATGTCAGAGCTGAATTTTAAGAAAAATATCTTGCAGTTAGTTTACAGAAGATGGGTGGTAAAAGCTATGCTGATTCAAAGATATTTATGATATAAAAGTCCTTATGATTTTGCTCTATCAAAATATAATTTTCAGAAAGTTAAAGAAAAGACTTTCATGTATATTATTAGTTGAAAATGAAATCTTCTTAACTATATCTATTAAGTCACTAGAGTGAACACATGGCAAAAGTTTACTAACTCTTTAATGAAGAAGATGACAAAGCTGGTTAAAAGACGGTTTTGGAATTCTGGGTATTTATACCCATGTTTAGAAAATGTATTAATGAGATTCCTAGGTTACTTACAAAATTGTTTATCCTTCAGTACAATAAAATAATAACCTGTGAGATTATTTTTTCCATCAGAGAGAGATCATTTGCATCCCTGCTGGAACTAGATCTACCACATAACATGTAACTTCACAGAGTCTGGGCCTCAGTTAATAGAAAATAGTGAGTCATGCATTCCTAAAAACCAGCACCATCCGATGGATATATGATTTGAGCTACATATGCAATTTTAAATTTTTCAGTAGAAACATTAAAAAAATTAAAATTAAAAATAATTTTAACAGTAAGCTTTATATAACCCAATATATCAAGAATATTATCATTTTAACATGTAATATAACAAATTATGAAATATTTTACATTCTTGTTTTGTACTAAGTCTCCAAAATCTGCTCTTCACTTTACACTTATAGCACATCTCAATTCTGACCAGCCACATTTCAAGTGCTAGTGCGAGTGTCCACCATATTAGATATTGTAGCTTTAGATAATTAAATACTCATTGAATGGGCTTGTTAACCAATGCCCAAAAAATAATGTTGAAAAGTCATACAGTACTTCTTTAGCCTTATTTCTAAGTTGTTGTTTTTTTTATACTTTTCTAGCCAGGAATTTTAATTTTTTTTCATCGGATCCCAGGACATTTATATGATAGCACATAGAATCTATCTACAACTTGACCTTATTTAGTAAAATAAATGTGTACTTTAAAGAGTTATTTTAAAGATAACGTATTATGTTGCTTAAGCTTTTAATGGAAGATTCTTGGGCTGGCCGGTTAGCTCAGTTGGTTAGAGCATGGTGTTATAACACCAAGGTCAAGAGCTTGCATCCTCTACCAGCCAGTAGTCAATAATAATAATAATAATAATAATAATAATAATAATAATAATAATAATAATAATAGTAATAATAATAATAATAATAATAATAATAATAATAATAATAATAATAATAATAATAATAATAATAATAATAATAATAATAATAATAATAATAATAATAATAATAATAATAATAATAATAATAATAATAATAATAATAATAATAATAATAATAATAATAATAATAATAATAATAATAATAATAATAATAATAATAATAATAATAATAATAATAATAATAATAATAATAATAATAATAATAATAATAATAATAATAATAATAGTAATAAAGATTCTTTAAAGTATAATTGAAGAATTCTAACAATATCCATCATGGCATAAATAATAACTAACATGTATTGAGAATTATTATGAGCCAACTACTCTAAACCTCTTTATATTTATCATCTAATTTAATTCTCACAGAAACTCTCTAAGATAATATTACCATTTTAGAGATAAGAAGGCTAAGAGAATTTACGTAACCTACCAAAGATGACACAGATTATAAGAGGACCTGTAAATAAAATCCAGGCTTCTTAACTGCAAAGCCTGAGCTATTAACCATTATGCCATATGCAGAGAGGACTTCAAAATGAGATTCCAATCCATGTCCATTAAATAACTAAGAATTTGCTGTGCAAATTAAAAGTAAGGATTCACCATATGAGCAAATGTTTTTACATTTGTTCTTTACATTGGATGAATGATTTTTCTGTTTTCCAGAAGGAGTGGAAAGAATCAATATCAAAAAAAAAAGTTTGTATGAATAACTATAATAACATACTATTTCATCTTTAGTTAAAACATTACTAAATGACAGAAGTTCTAATAAAAATTTTTTTGTAGTGGAATAAATTCAGCACTTTTCCTTCTATCTCAGTACTACTTAAGAGGTTTGGTTTGTAAATTACTCTTATTTGCTAGATGGAAAGTAGAAAGGATTCTGATTCTCAGGATAAAAAACCCATAATTTTGAAGCCTTTTTAAATTGAAAAGGAAATAGAAAACTGAAATGGAAATGGGACTAGGAA